TATAACCACTTAACGCTTAAATCCAGCCGAAACACACACTCCACACAGACAGCCCTTGTGCCAGGGGGTAGAAAACAGAAGAATTTTATCTGACTGGCCTGAGGCGAGGGTTGCCTGAAGAGTACAGATACAACCAGATTTTGGATAGTTTTGGGCTATATTAGGGGCATTGAAAACTCTACTTTCCTGTGGCTAAACCAAAGACTAGACCTTTCCGTCACTTTTCCTATTGATATCTCATTGGGTAACCCTCGTTCCTGGTTACGACTACAACGAGCCGCCCTTGTGAGGCGGTGGCGGCACCCAAGTGGCACGACCACCACAACAGTATCAATGCACAAACTGTACCCGTCACCAGTGCTGTCACCGTCACCGTCACACCGTTACACCGTCAATCGGTAAACTGTGTCTATTGAACGGCACACAGTCGGAGAGAGTCAGAGGGGGGGTCTGGCCGAGCGAGCAACCCCCAAAAAGTGCGGCCCGGCCACAATGAGGGTTCAAGATGCCGCGAGTGAACTGTCATATTTGCCGGGGGACCTGAGCCAGAGACCACTGACTGAATGACTGACTGAATGACTGACTGAATGACGAGACGAGAGCTGAGCCTGAAGAGCTCAGGGCTCAGGACTCAGGGCTGATGGTGGTTGCTGTTGACTTACCAACTGACCATCTGTCTCGGCATCTAGCCTCGGTTCCACCCTTTGTAAAGGGTATCGCGGCTTCGACTCGCCGGGCCCGGGCCCGCCTTTGAGTCGGCATTCAAATGACAGTAACTGTACTGTGCACAAGTGGCATACGCTTCGCCACAGAGCCACAGCCACAGCTTTGTACAAGTGATTGTTACTTTTCGGTTAGATTTCATTCCAACCCGACGAGTACTTGCTGTTTTTTTTTTTTTTTTTTCTGTTTGCAGACTTGAAAAATTTGCATAACTCGTAGCGACAGAGAAACACTTGAGAAATTCCTTTAGAATCTCTCCCCTTCGTGTCTCATTTTGTGTGTTTTTTGCGTTTTTTGCGTTTTTCGGTTTTGAGTCGAGTGTGTCGGCATTTCCCATAGCGAAGGCTGCGCTTAATTGTTTGGAAAGAATTCTTAAGCCCAGGCCATAGAAGGGGTTGCACATCAGGCGACCCTCCGGCGCCCGAGATGTTAGTTGGAAGAGCCTACCCGTCAGGGGAAGACCTCCTTGCTGCGGTCTCTTATTCATAATCATTCGGGCTCCCCCCATCACCTGATGTCCGCCGTCCGCCGTCCGCCGTCCGCCGTCCGGCCGGGGCCTGCTTAGCCCCTGTCGATGGCTAAGCAAAGCCACTAACTAACCGCAAAATCCCTTTTGTTCAAATGCCCTTGCTCTTGTCGACAATGATAGACGTACTAATTGGCAGAGTTCTCTTCGGTCTCCCAGTGGAGTTCTCCGATCTGGGCTCAATAAAGAAATCATTGATGTGGGTATGGGAGGGAGGGAGGGAGTACGGGGAAGTGCAACCACTGTCCACTGTTGCTGCCACTGCCAGTGCCACATCAATAGGCCGCTGGATGCATCAACACTTCAATGAGTGCGACGAGTATGGTCCAGCACAATGCGGCAGAGCACTTCGTCTTGCCACTGCCACTGTGGCACAGCCACTGCCACCACAATTATTTCCATTTGATTGTGCAAAGAAGAGTGCGTGGAGGAGCGCTGGGTTCTTTCTTCCTTATGGCCTCATTGTTTGGGGTGGCCGGGACCCCGGACCCCGGACCATCCTTTATGTGTGGTCATTGCTTGCCTGTGTTTATGGCTCTATATGCTTGAGTGCATTCGGATATGGCCTGGCTGATGATGCTGCTGATGCTGATGGTTGCCACTGAAGGAGCTTTCTTTTAGGGCCACGGCCCAAGGCAGAAATTTACATTTTCCGATGACTTAAAGAGACCTAATTGGAGCTGGAATGAAGTACACTCGTTAGAGCCATAGGAAAGTAGCATAGAAAGCGAACAATTGAATGCCCCTGCACACAGAGAGATACATCCAGCAATCCACTGGACAGATGGGAGGCTCCAAAGCACACAAGAAGCTCGAGAGCTGGGCCTCAAGGAGCCTCAGAAGATGTCCAGCATGCCTTCAGATAGCAGGTGGTCCTCCATTTATCGTTGCTCTATCGAACATGCTCCTTCCTGCTCAAAGTACAGTGCCACGCCAGGTGCTACGTCGCCAAAAAAGCTGAACCATGCGCCATTGACGTGGAACCGACCAAACAGAGTCCCAGCCGTTGTGAGATCTGAGCTTGTTTCATCCAAAACTCCGCTGAACACATCCCAGAACTGTACTGTAAGCTTTCTATCGACCATAAGACTAAGAACGTCTTCCATTGTGGCTGTTTTCGATCCAACATCCGTTAGAATTCAGTACAATTTGCTAGATGTTAAGCCAATCCGTTGGATATGCTGCTGGCGAAATGATCTTGTACTTTGCTAGCTCCTTTGGGAGGTTTTTCCCGGGGTTCAAGCTTGATATGTGGCCAGAACTTACCCAATCCGTCGAAAAATAGATGTGTGCACAAGTTTCCATCAGCTGCCCTTTAGATACCATCAATAATCAATCCATTTATCAGCTTAAACTGCTTACAAGTGGCTAAGACAGGCCTTGGCTTGCAGCCGCTGTCGACATCTTCGGCCTCAAGGCAATCCATAATGTTCTACCTAGAATCGTACATCAGAAGCTTATCATCTATACAATGGAATGCTTCAGTAATATTCGTATCTCTGATTGTGTTTTACCCACATTTACGTTTAATGCTGCCAAAAGTGTTGGCTACTCACGCCAGTCGATTCTTCGAGCTTCTTCTTTGGTTGGAGAAATGATCACATGTTTAGCATTGAATTCCGCGAGCCCTGGAGATACTGTCGGCCGACGCGCCCCTGCAACTGCCCCAAACGCCTGTCCACAGGTGTCCACAGGTGTCTTCTTTTTGGTTCACAACAACTTAAAATTGTAGTCTCTTATGCCAATTGTGTGTACATTTGATCTGCTTCTTTATTTACCGGCTTCTGTCTTCTTCTTCATCACTTAATGTAAACACTTAAATATCGACAGACTTAGGGAACTATCGATATGTAATTAATTCAATATCGTTACCACTTATTCTAAATATTTTCGTTTCTTCGTCTCACATTCGAGTGGGAGCATTATTTCGAATATTCCGCTCATCCAAGAGTACTGATTGGTGCCAAGGACAGCGAATGTGCCCATTGTCAGGCGCTCGAAGGCAAATAAGAGACAGAGGGTATGAGAAAACACCACCAAAACCATTGAACCAGAGGCCAGGCTGTGCATAAAGTCCACTGGAACATCCAAATCTTATCGAGGAACAAAAATTAGGCACAATAATCACTCACAATTATTTTTTAATGGCTTTAATATATTTCCACAATATTTACTAATATCATAATATTTTTATTAAACATCCAAACATTTTTTTCGAGTGAGTACTGAGCACAGTTTGTGTTTTTCGTAAGGAATTGGCTGTTTAGATGCTTAATAAATATATTATTATATTACTAAATATTAAAGATATATTTTAAAGCCTTTAAGAAATCTTTTGAAAATTCCCAACGTTCCCCCAATAAGCGGAATGCGGAATAAAGCACCAATAAGGGAACTTTTGTACTTCGTTTCGTTTCCACTGTTTCCAAACAAAATAAAAAATCCCCAGTACCAGTAATATTTTCTTATTGGTTTCATTCCATCAATGAAAATTAGACTAAAAAACAAAAAAAAGAACCCAACTTAGGGGAAATGAAACGCCCTTTGAGGTGCATAATTACTACCTTTTTAGCCAAATACCGCCAATACTTTTGCCTGCCACGGTGTGTGTTTGCATTTCTGCCCAATTAAACACGCTCTCGAGAATCGCATAGAATCCAATTAAATAAAATTGTCGCCAGCACACTCTTGGCTATGATAATAGCCTGTCTCTAAACTTGAATGGCCATACTTGGCCGGGTCTCAGACCCACTAACCCCTTCGGGTGCCATGCCCACCCGCATCCCGGGGCTGTCCCGACATTGGCGGAATTACGGCAAATAGTTTCGTGGATGGATGGTCACGGGCTTACCTTCAGACGTGCTTCCACCTGGTGCTTAGTCACCTTTAACCCCCTCTGCGGCATTCCACCAACGCGGTCCTTGGGAATTCCGCGGCGCAACGACAAAAACATTTTAACGGTCACTTTTGGTCAATTAAAAACAAGTTTTCTAAGAAAACAATCAGGATAAATGGGGAATAGAGGCCAATGTGGCCCTTGGTTATACGGAAATGGGAAATGTTAAATATATATGCCATAAATATTATTATATAATAATAATTAAAGCCCGAATAAAGCTTAGAAAAACGTTATTTTAACGAAATATACTAGATTTTAAGGTTTAAGGCCTAAAAACCACTTTACACTATTTTTTTTTTTAGGTTTTTCTAAGCATTTTTTTTTTTTTTTTTTTTAATCCTATATTCAAAAATTAAAGTCAGCTAAAAATCAGGCTGCCTGAAAGCTCCACAATATTGGCTAAAACCGTTTTAGAATATGTTTTATAAACTAATAAAATAAATACTGGGTATAAAATTAATACATTTTAAGACCCGTCTAATAGGGGATTTTTCTAGGCGGCTGCCCTGCTTTCCCTCGACTTTTTCTATATTAAATATAATATTCCAGCATGTTTCGCTGCCTTTCCAGTATTAATCGGCTATTTATTTTGTTGATTAGCTGAAAAATTGTCCAACGATTGAAAAAAATACATGAATTTTGATTGTTTCGCTGAGAATATCATCTCTGATTCATTCTCATATCATTCTGATTTACGCCATAAATTTCCATCCAAAAGCCCCTTAATTTCTATTCGCAATTAATTTTGAGACCACACAAGACAAATCGGATTGGGTTTCACGAATACCCTTAGGCCAAAGCTAAGATAGCAAGCCTCCAAAAAGGGCGGCCATTTGCTTTTCTGTGAATCGGCGTGGCGTCACTGGCAGTCTGGCTTCTAGTTCGAAATAAAATGTCCGACAAGTTGAGTATTCTAGACGTATCCGTGGAGCTGATCAGCGAGATATTCGAGCACCTTGAGTCGGCGGAGGACCGTCTCGAAGTGGTCGCGGTCCATCCGAAGTTCGCCAAAGGCTTTGCCCGATTCGCGGCCACCGCCCACCGCACGCTCAAGTGCGGCCAACTGCCGCTTTCGTACTGCTCGAAGGTGCTGCAGCTGGCGGGGGACTCGGTGAAGAGCCTGTCGCTGCAGGACCCGGCCAATGTGGTGGCTCTGATGAAGCTGGCCTCCGATCACTGCCCCAATCTGGAGGAGATCTCAATTCCCGTGCGCACCGAGTACTGGGCCGTCATCCAGCCGCTTCTCTTGTCGATGCAAAAGCTGAAACGCATCGATCTGCGCAATGATTTTCGTCCGCTCGAGGTGATCGGTACTTTGCTGGAGTTTCCCCAGCTTGAGTTCCTGCTTCTGGTTGGATTCCGCAACGATAATCGTGAGTTTTTGCAGGTTATGTTCACAGCATTGCGGTTTTTTTTACGTTGCCCGTGGCTTTCCAGTGAGTCGCATCGATGAGCTGCAGGGCCTGACGTCCTTGCATGTCATCAACAATGAGCCGATCGATGTGTACTTGTTCTTCGCCCCCTTGAAGAACCTAACGGAGCTCGAAGTGAAGGTCGCCTACATGAATTGTCCGGTCCAGATTGCCGGCGACGAGTATTGGCCGAAAGTCAAGGAGCTGACCTTGACATTTGGCATTTTTCGCTCGGAAATGCCGTATCTGCCGAGCCTGTGGCATCTTTCCATCAGTCACGTGATGCCGGATAGGAAAATATCCCAATTGTTCGCCAGCTCGGTGTCCCAGTACGCCCACACCTTGGGCTCCATGGGCATGGTCTACGAGACTCAGACCGCGGGCACCGCCGACGCCAAGATCATTTCGGAGCTGAAGTCCCTGCGTGTCCTGTACATGCCGTATGTGAATAACGCCTTCATTGGCGCCCTCAAGTCGGACTCGCTGGAGCGGCTGTTCATCCGCGACTCGTGGAATCTGACCAATTCGGGGATCCTCCGTTTGCTGCGCGGCTGCAAGAACTTGCGTCTCATCGACTTCGGCGGCTGCAAGCGCATCACAAAGCACCTGGTGGAGCCGGCCCTCAAGATACTCAAGAAGAACGGCGTCCGGCCCGATAATCCAGTGGAGCTGAGAGTGAACGCCGAGTTCGGAGATCACGTAAGTGCCGGGCACCTTGGCAAACGGCATGAATTAAGCAAAATGCTTAATATTTCTTGTAGATCTCTCACATGGACCTTACATTAATGGTCATCAGCAGGGGCACAGCTGATGGGAAGCCTGACTGGATCGGAGACAACTTGCCGAGGACATCCGAGGACAACTGATCTCAAGTTCCTCAAGAAATACTCTCAAATAAATGGAGCACTGTCGCCTATAGATCGTCTTTTTGTGCGGCTTTCCCCCTTGGGCATCTCTCAGCTGCCAATTGGCTTTCTGACCCTTTTTGGCACCTCTTTCCGGGGCCTGTCGAAGATTACGTGGCTCGCATCTCTCATTATCTGCCGGCTCCGTCGCCTTTCACCTTCGCCCGCCTGACAATTGCCAATCACAGCAGGCCAAAACTCCACTCCATTCGTGCCACACAAAAATCCACAAGAATTACCATTTTGACCGCAGACAAATTAGTGTTATTAACACTTTTTTTCCTCCTTCTTCTTGTTGTTGTTGTTGTTGTGGCTCTCTGTCTCCATTTTTGTTGTGTTTATGGTTTGCAGAAACATTTTTCACGCTTTTGGCCACGCGCAGACACACCCAGACCTGGTAACAGAGCTGGTAACAGAGCTGGTCCCCGACCTGACCGCAGGTTTTAATATTGCAAAATGCCGAGGCTCCTCTCCTCTGGCGCTGTTTGTTCGGTTTTCGGGGCCTCGCCTGGCCTGGCCGGGCTCCTGTGAAAACAAACAACAATAATACCCACATTATGTCTGTGGTGGAGAGGGGGGGGGACCTCTGCCCTCCCCCTCTGCACCACTCATGTCATCAGCTTCGTAATTCGTGAACAAAAAAATCCATTAAGAATGCATTGCGATTTTTATTCAACATTTTTTCATGGCATTGTGGCAAGGTGTTGACTGCGTTTCACTTCTGAACTTGCCCCAAGAGGGTGGACCGAGGAGTTTTGAAGGGGATTTTCGTTTTGATTTTGGCAAAGAAACTCAAAGGAGTTTCTGTTCGGTGAAGGACCCCAAAATTTCAGAGAATAAAGTTCTCTGCCAACAATTTCCAAGTTTCAAGCTCCCAAGTATCTAGTGTCCAATAAAGAAGCTTCAATGAATCATGAAATAATGGAAATAAAGTGACATCGTCTCCAGTTTGGGATTCAAAATATCCACTTTCTGGGACCTCTCGAAGCTGCTTTCACTGCGAAAATCTATTCCTAGTGTAAAAAGAAGCCTCTTCCGATTCTTCCAAGTGGATCCGTACCCCCGAAAACCCTCCGCTGAAACAAATTTCAGGCGCTCCTCAAGGAAATTCCTCTCGTAACTCTGGTAGATCCCATTCGCGATGGCAGCACCTTTCCCCGCCTTTCTTTGACGGCACTCCATGCCACTGCCTGTCCTTCCATTTGCAGTCATCTTCCATTTCTGGGGTAATCCCGACCTCTGGGGATACCCTGCCACTCGCTGCAGTCCCCCAATTGTGGGGTATATTCTTCAGGCAGCCCTCGCCTGCCCCAGCCCCTGCCCCTGCCCCTGCCCCTCTTTCCCTGCCAAATACTCCTTCCTTGATGCATTAACCAGTAGCCGCTGCTGCTGTTCGAGTGATTTCTTTTCGGCAGCCAGCAAATTGCTCGTAATGATGCTGCACTGCATATTGCCGCATTGCTTGGCAAATTATCAAGCAAATTAGCTTAATAAGTTTATTTTAAAGAGCGGAATGCCCTCCGTGTTACGTACATGAATATGAATCAGTCCAGACCTTCGCCGGTGCTGCCTCCTGTTTGCTTTTCCCATCAAAAAATGAGCAGGCAACCAGGAACTGATCTTCGTAGAGGATTCTATGGCAGGGGTCTTGGGCTGTTCAATTTGCTTGAAATCGGTTTAAGGACATTAGCCGCCAGTCGCTTATCAATTCCCGTCTATAGAATTTCCATTTGAGGTCCATAAATCAAGGGGACGATGATATATGAACGTCACAGTTATTAACCGAAGGGACAGCCGTCTATGCCATATGCAAGTGGGTCAAGGGACCTGCCAAACCACTCGGCCAAGTGCCGCAATCCCCCCTTGACCAGAGGAAGGGTTACGCACGTCCCCCCGGTGTCCAGTCCCCTGGTCCCTGTCCCCTGGTCCCTGGCCCCTGGTCTGCGGTCATATTTCATTTCTTTGTCCAACTCGTTTTCGGTTTTTCGGTTTTTCGGGCGATTCTGGTCTTTGGGTCGACTTGCGGTTCGCCGGTACAAAAACAATGCCGAGAACCCGTCGTCTTCAAGTGCCATCCGATGGACATTTACATTTACATTTACATTTACATTTTTATTACAAACAAATTCGTTGCGGTTACAAATGCGTCAATGCAAATAACAATTTTTCTTTAAACAAAAAAAAAAGAGAGACTGGAAGGCTGTGGGGTGGTTGCCCTGGTGTCCTTCGTCCTGTCAGGGCCAGTACAAATTACTCACGGTCAATAAATCATGCCGCTTGTCAAAATAAATGCATAAATTTCCGAATAGTGAAAGCAGAAAGCAGAAAGACGAAAGCAGAAAGAGTTTATCCCGGGCTCTCTATCAATTGAATTGGTTAGCCAGTTCCCGGGGGAATTGGATTTGTTAAGGGCTTAAGCAGTTGGTCAAGTCAAGTCGATTGGGCTCTGGGCACGAGATATCCTTGCTCCAAGGAGCTGCAGGAAGAATCCCCATCAGGGAGGGGCGGGGGGTGGTGGCTTTGCCAAATGATGGTCAAATGGTCAATGCTTAGGCGTTTATAATTTTTCGATTTATAGTCACATTTATTTACCGTTCGCCCCCGATGTCCCAGGGAATCGGTCTGGCAAATGATTGATTGGCCGAGCAGTGAAGGAAGCCACCGCTCGCCCCCAAGGAGGCTCAGATCCAGCTGCAAACAGGACACGCACAGGCCACAGCAAATTTGTAACAATAAAGCGCTGGCTCTGGGCCACAGAAGGGTTGACGGGGGGAGCCAAGCCGGGGGGGAAGCCCCCTAAACGGGTTGCAGAATCGACGGCGGCCGGAGGAGGAGCGGCGTATAAATGATTGATACCAGGCCCAGAGTCACACAAAAATTACTCAATTAGTTAGGCATTAGCCCCGGCCCCGGTCCCCCCCCTTCCCCGCCACAGAGACCAGCGTAAGTCCAGTGGCCCCGCCGACAATTAGGGGAAAACCACAGAACCTCATTATAAACAATTTTCTTTATCATCGCCGAGAGCTGAGCCCGAAATGCATTACGAGGGAGAGACGGGGAGAGAGGAACGCCTTGAGAGCCCATAACATTAGAACCTTCTTAGACACTTTAGACCAAAGAAATTGCTGCAAATCACGGCAAGTAAATTAGACAAAATTGAGGCCCGGCCCGGCCCAGCCCGGCCTGGGAGATCTATTCGGTAAATTGAGAAAAGTACACCCCGGCCCGGAGTCTCGGAGCACCGGAGTCCCGCGGCACGATTAACCGCAGACAGCGGCAGTCGGGGGGAAGGCAGACGCAGACGCAGACACTCGATGTCGCCGACGTCTTCTCGATTCTGGGTTCGGTTTTCCATGGCAATTAACTGGCGCTACAACGCCATGGGTTTTGGGGCAGGCGCCGGGGAAGGGCAAGGGCAAGGGGTTCCAACTATCGGCCAACTACCTGATGGCCAAACGGTTCTCCGACCCATTGAAAAGCTGCTCGAGGAACAGATACATTAGCATTAACCTCTTCGTGCAATTAGTGTGAAATGAAAAGCACTTGAAGTGTTTCGGGGGCGCATCCTATTGTCATCATTTTCGGATATTGTTTGTCAAGGACCATCCCCCCCCCGCCCCCCCACCGCCGAGTGCCGGGCCAACAGATTGGCCTTGCCGCTGGCGCCGCCTCCTCTCCATCAGAACGGAAAACTTTGCCATTGACAGCCGAAAAACACTTGAGACAGACACAAAAAGCGGCAATTAGCAAAAGCAAACACGAGGCAGCCCCGGCGAAGGTCTGGACTGATTCATATTCATGTACGTAACACGGAGGGCATTCCGCTCTTTAAAATAAACTTATTAAGCTAATTTGCTTGATAATTTGCCAAGCAATGCGGCAATATGCAGTGCAGCATCATTACGAGCAATTTGCTGGCTGCCGAAAAGAAATCACTCGAACAGCAGCAGCGGCTACTGGTTAATGCATCAAGGAAGGAGTATTTGGCAGGGAAAGAGGGGCAGGGGCAGGGGCAGGGGCTGGGGCAGGCGAGGGCCGCCTGAAGAATATACCCCACAATTGGGGGACTGCAGCGAGTGGCAGGGTATCCCCAGAGGTCGGGCATACCCCAGAAATGGAAGATTATTGCAAATGGAAGGACAGGCAGTGGCATGGAAAGGCGGGGAAAGGTGCTGCCATCGCGGATCGGATCTACCAGAGTTACGAGAGGAATTTCCTTGAGGAGCGCCTGAAATTTGTGTCAGCGGAGGGTTTTCGGGGGTACGGATCCACTTGGAAGAATCGGAAGAGGCTTCTTTTTGCACTAGGAATAGATTTTCGAAGTAAGCCCGCAGTGAAAGCAGCTTCGAGAGGTACCTATTTCTAGGACCGGGAGTGTGTGAGTAAATACTATGGAAGAACATCCCTGATAGCGACAGCCCTCGAGTTCCCTGGAGATCTGTTGCATCTGCCCCGAAGAAAGCCCTGAAAACGCTGCTGGGGAGCATTTTCCACCCCAAATGGAGAGGCAAAGAAAAAAGCAATTCAAAGATCACCTTCTTCTGCCGTCTGCCCCGACGGCGCCTGAGGGGGGGGGGGGGGGGGGGGGGGGGGGGGGGGGGGTGCCCCTTTGTGCCGCCCCTGCACCAGCCTGCCACATGCTGAAGGTGACGCCTTTTTATTGCCCCATTTGTCGTTAAAAATAGAGCCAGAAAAAAGTGTGCATCTCCCCTCCAGGGGGGCAGAAGGTCCCCCTCCCCACCCACCCCGAGATGAGGTGTGAAAGCGAATGAATTATTCGAGAATTTCTATCTAGATTTGTAAATGAAATATGTTAATAATTAATTAGCTGGTGTTTGGTGGGGGGAAGGGGGATGACAGCGCAGGATCCACAAATAAATCGTTGGAGAAATAATCCCCAAAAGGAAATCTAAAACAAAAAAACAAAAAAAAGGAGGAATTTCAAGTGAAAACAAATCAAG